AAGTTGCCCATCCCTGTCTACTCTGTGTGTGGAGGGGGTGGGAATAATTCTTGCTGTAAGGACTCTTTTGAGCTACTGCTTCCATAGGTGTAGGAGATTCTTTCTTTTTAAAACGTTATATTGTTGTTGCTACTGAGAATATACACATTAAAACCTGCACCAGTTCAACCAAGTCTCTATGTATAATTCCGTGACGCTGCATTCTTGAGCGCACCACCATTCTCAACCATCCTTTTTGAAGTGTTTGGTACTCATTGATGCAAACTCCCTGTTCCCCAAGATTTTTATCTAAACTTCCGAGTTCCTGTTGCCACTTTAATCCCATACAGAGACTTTCTGAAAGAGTACAATGCTGAAGGCAAACATTCTTTACTATTTAAGATACAGCATAGTTTGGTTTTAAGAAGACTTCGTGGTTTATCCAGTCTTCATGACTCCAGAAAGTCTGGCGCTCATGAAACTTTGAAAATCTGTTTGCATTTTGCCCCCTTTTGAACTTGTTCTATGCATTCTCTGATCTAAATGTTCAGTAATGGTAGCTGGGCACCAATCCAATTCTTCTGGTCTTGTGGCAAAGGAGGCAGTGAGTTGCTCCTGGTGACAATTTGCCATACGTTCTATCTCCTCCTCCTATCCCGACTCTCCTTCTTCCTTTGTTACTCCAGGTGAAGAGAGACCAATGATCATGCCTTGAATGGCCACTTACAAGTTTTTAAGACCCCAGGTACTGTGCAAGAAACTAGGAAGTAGAGCAGAAATATTAAACACATGATTAGGCCAGTTAGAGATGTCCCATGAAACTCCAACCCTAAACCCCTCCAAACCAAGAAATCAAGCCATATGGTTTGCAGTGGCTGATTTTTCAAAAGCAGTTTGCCAGGTCTTTCTTCCAAGGTGCCTCGAACTTTTCAGTTACTAGGGGAGTGCTTAACCATTTGCATCACCCAAGGGTTCCTCTTTTATCATATACAGCCTGCTTTTCATCTTAACATAAAAAACACCCTGGGGTCCTTGGAGTTTGGAGCTTAGTTTTATGGTTAGTGAAAAATTGTTTTTAGGTGATCACACAATATCTCAGGAGAAAGATGGGGCTTTCTGCTCCCATAAAGATTTACAGCCTTGCAACCCCTCTACAGGATCGCTATGAGTCTGAATCGAGTCCACGGCACTCAAGCACCGCCAACTATATGACTTACCAGAACCCTGGTGGCACAGTAGTGTTGGGGGCTAAAAGACTTACAGACCTCATAAAACTTTAAGTCTGAGTTTTTCCAGACAAAGCCTGCTTATTAACACTAGGAAAGTAGCCTTCCCAGGATCACGTTATTCACAGTAAAAGATAAACATGCAGGGAAAGCAGCTTTTCCAAGGTTGCCTGGCTCACAGTAAAAGATAAACTTGTAACTATGCAGAACAATGCTGACTTGCAGAAATTGCTCTATAAAAACCTCTTGCTTTCAATAAACTTGGTCACTTGCTATGTCATTTACCTTCAGCTTGTGTAGCCTTGCCGGATTATTCTTCTTTGCTTTTGTACATAACTTTTCTCATCTTCGCGCTCTCCCTCGACATAGCCCACGAAAAGGTTTGAGCTGGACTCAGACCCTTATACAGTAGTTAAGTGCTTGGCTGCTAACCAGAGGGTTGATGGTTCAAGCCCACCAGCCACTGGAGAAAGATGTGGCAGTCTGCTTCTGTAAAGATGATGGCCTTGGAATCCCGATGGCTTCGACTCTGTGCTGTAAGGTCACTGTGAGTCCACAGCAGTGGTGTTTTGACTTGGCATAGTGACTGGACCTACAAGATGAGCCTGGTGGTGCAATGCTTTAAGTGCTCATTTGCTAACTGAAAGAGTGGCAGTTCAAAACCACCCAGCGGCTCCATGGGAGAAAACTTGGTGATGTGTTTTCATAAAGGTTGTTTGCTGTTAAGTGCCGTCAACTTGATTCCAACTTGATTGTATAGGGTTTCCCAGGAGCAGCTGGTGAGTTTGAACTGCCCACCCTGAGGTTCAAACCGACCTTATGGTCAAGTACTTATTCTATATCGCCACACCGGGACTCCTCATAAAGATTACAGCCTAGGGAACTCTGTGAGGGGCAATTTTACTGTCTTATAGGGTCTCCATGAATCAGAATCGACTTGATGGCATTCTAGTAAGGTTTGGTTCCACTGTAGCAAGCCATATGGCTTGTTTACACTAACCCCAAACCAAGCCTATTACTGAGAAGTGGATTCTGACTCATGGGAACCGCATGTGTGACAGAGTGGAACTCTGCTCCATAGGATTTTCACTGGCTGATTTTCAGAAGTAGAGAGCTGGGCTTTTCTTCCTAGTCCATCTTAATCAGCCAGCTCTGATGAAACCTCTTCAGTCTCCTAGCAACACTCAAGCCTCCCCTGACAGATGGGTATGGTGGTGGATGTACATGAAGTGCTCTGGCTGGGAATCGAACCCTAATTCCCTTTTCTGGTATCTCCACCACCGAACCCTCCTTGGGTTTCAAATGCCAGGTCCCATCTCCAAATACCCCTCTGTTCTCCTTGCCAAGTACCCTCTCCTTAACAACCTCCCTCCTTCCCCTACCCACTCTGGGCCAGGTCCCTTCCACTACTCTCTTACCAGCTTCCTTAATCCTCTCAACAACCCTACCCCACTCCTGCTGAACAGCCTCAGATCTTCCTCTGACTCCACCTCCTTACAAGACTTGATAAATCCTTCATAAACAGATACAAGACTTCATAAATCCTTTCCAGGGATGGGCTGACCAGTAAAAGAGGTAAGCTCCATTTACAGTAGGCAAAGTTCCCATGAATTCAATTATGTTTACTTGTTCTTCTGTGATGAATAATTTCACATGAAACCCAAGTATAACTGTTCATTACATATTATTGGTGTTATTAAGTACCATTGAGTCAGTTCCGACTCACAACTCTGTACAGGATTTCCGAGTAGGGGATGGTGAGTTTGAACTGCCAACCTTGAGGTTCAAACTGAATTTAGAGTCCAGTGTTTTAACCCACATCTGGGCTCCAGATTATTGTTTAAAAATCCCATCCAGTCGGTTCGGACTCATAGCAACCCTGTGTAAGGTTTCTGCGGAGCAGCTGGTGGGTTTGAACTGACGACCACGTGGTTCGTAGTTCACTGCTGACCCTACAGCGCCATATACACCAAGAGTCCCCACAGATTACTAAACAAGTTTAACCACAGATTACTAAACAAGTCTAATTAATTTCGTGCAGACCTTGCTTATTGGGCAACCTGGTCTTGGTCTTTACTTCTCCAGGGTTCCACTTCTGTTTATCCAGGTACACTGCTTCCAGAAGGCCTTATCCCACGCCTCGACCACCCTTCAGCTTCCCTGGCCCCACCCCTTCCAGCTGACCCAATCTCTCCTTACCCTGCCTGTTGATAGCTGGCCCCACCCCAACCATGACTTGCTCCTCCCCCTCAGGACGACCCCGCCCCTGTCAGGTGGCCCCACCCCCACAACCAGTCAGTCCTCAGGCCCTCTCATATCCAGTAGTTTCCAGCCCTAGTTTATATTTTCCCTGGCCTCTCTCTCCCCCGTGGACGCCATCCCGCAGTCCCCTCCCTGGTGCCCGCGCTGACCCGCCGCCACCTCAGTTTCTCTCACGCCTGCTTTTCTGAAGCCACCCACGGTCCCAGAGAAGCCAGGGCCCCGAGCATTCGACACGCGCGCCACTTCCAGCATACTAACCCGCGCGGGACGCCCCAATTGTCTCGTACGGGCTCCAAGCGCCGCTGCTCGCACCGGCTCCGCGCGCGACGTCAGTCCCAATTTCGCGCCACCACGGAATTCGCGCGCAGACTTCGCGGCTGGGGGTGGGACTGAGTAGAGGGGCGGAGCCCGAGAGACGTCCACTCCACTCGAGGCCGTCTTCCCTCGCAGAGGCCACTGGGAGTTGTAGTTCCTCAAATAGGAGGTGGCCGGAAAACGGGGAAGGGGTTGGGTGAGCCCTCCGTAGAGCACGCTGGGAAGAGACCTGCAGGTCCGAAAAATGACTGGCAAGAAAGAGAGCGATTAGCAATCGGGGTAGAGAGACGCGGCGAGAGGCACGGCGGGAAGAGAGGCGGGAGACCGCGCGGAGCATCCCGGGAGCGAGGGCCCAGCCGGTCCTCGGCGCGGGGTATTGTGGGTGGCGGACGCCGCTCTTGGGCGGGTAGGTAAGTGGGGAGGGGCGGAAAGGCTGCACAGCTGGGGGAAGGGAGAGGCACAGCTGGGTGGGACGGAGGGGTGGGGAGGGCTGCTGTGGGCGGAGCTGGAAGGAATGGATGAGGCAAGAGTGGAGTGGAAGAGGCTGAATGAAGTTGGGAGTGGGGGGAGGCTGAAATTGGAGGTAGGCGAGCGTCTGAGGTGAAGAAGCCTATTTGGATAAGGGGTCATGTCCAGACAAGATCGCACTCTGGGGAGGATGAGTACCAGTTGGAGTCAGGGTGGGAGGGAGATCACAGATGACACATGGAGGGACAATTGGCCACAGTGGATTGGGCACACCTGTAGGTGAAGAGACCATAATGGAGTGCGGGACGCACATCTGGAGATGACAGTCTCTGAGAAGCTGGGATCATAGCTAGATGCGGGGTCTACAGGGGTCGCGTTTGGCAGAGAGGTGCCAGTTGCATATTGGAGACATAAGAGAAGAAAGCCACAGGTGCTTGTGGCATGCGAAGGGGATTGGGGGCGTGACGGCGCTCCAGAAGCACATCTGGAGATGGGGCATCCTGAGATATGGCACAGCTGGATGTAGTGGGGCAATGGCCAAATGAAGACACATTGATGGGAACACCAGATGAATGAGGGCACATGGGAATTACCCCACTGTAAGAGGTCGTTGGAGGCACATCTGAGGAAGTTTCAGCTCGAGTTGGGAACACGTTTGAAGGGCTTCAAAAGGTTCCTGGGATTAGGGATCAGGACGACAGGACCCATTCTTCCTAGGGGATAAGAGATGGCAGGCGCATGGGCAGCCAAAGAACCCCAAAACCCACTGCCATGGAGTCAATTCCACTCATTACAACCATGCAGGACGAGTAGAACCACTGCGCCACCAGGGTTACATACGGTTTGGTTAGTCGGTTATGTACCGTGGAGTCGCTTCCGACTCATAGCGACCCTGTACAGGATTTCCGAGGCTGTGAATCTTTACTGGAGCAGAAAGCCTCATCTTTCTCCCGCGAAACAGCTGGTAGTTTCCAACCTTGCGGTTCGCAGCCACTGTGCTCCCAGAGCCCCTTTACATACGGTTAAGGGATGGTAATTCATATCTGGAGTGAGAAATAGCTGCATCTTGGACCCGCCTGAGTAGAGGCCGGTGGAGAGTGCAGGAAGTGGGCTACCACAAGAAGGAGTGAATCTGATACCTAGGTGTCCTCCTTCCCCTCTCCCCTACCCAGGCGCCCCAGGATGGATCGGCCAGAGCCCCCAGCCTGCACAGCAGTGGGGCAGGAGGAGCGGGAACTGAGGGAACAGGCCTTCTTTTCATGGGCCGAATTCAGCTGCTTCTTCGACGCGTGGTGTCAGCGGCGGCTTGCGCTGTTCTTCGTCAAGAGCTCCATGCACCTGGCGCGCTGCCACTGGGCCAGCGCGCCCTCACTCTACTCGCTCATCGACGTGCTCAAGTATAGCTACGTGCGGCTCGTTTGCAAGGACGTGCGCGCGCCCAGCCGGCCCGCCGTGGGGTGCGTGATCCCAAGCCGCCGGCCTGCTGCGGGGTGGGGGCGAGAAGTAAGGTGTTCAGGGATAGACAAGAGACACGCATCCACCCAGAGATGGGGCAGACCTAGACAGGAAGAGGCTGAATACGCTTTCAAAGAGGAGCAGAGGGTCTAGATTACTGCTGGAGAGAGAGGCGGCGGAGGGGGGTGGGAATCAAACCCCTTGCCATAGAAGTCGATTCTGACTCGGGGACTTCAAAGGATAGAGTAGAAGTGTTTCACAGGATTTCCAAGGCTGTCATCTTTACAGAAGCTGACTGCTACCTCTTTCTCTTGCTGAGTGGCTGATGGGTTCAAACCACCAACCTTCTGGTTAGCAGTCACACAACCACCAGGAATCTTGACACAGGAGCAAAAAATTCCTCAGCCAACCTATAGGGCAAGAGTCGAATTGCCCCATGGAGTTTCCTAGGCTGTCATCTTCACAAGATTAGATTGCCAGGGGTTTTCTCCCTTAGAGCAGCTGGTAGGTTTGAACTGCTGACCTTACTGGTAGCAGCAGCCCAATGCTTAGCACACTGTGCCCCCCCAACAGAGGAAACTGGGGACAAAGCCAACACCCATGTGCGCGGCATAATGGGCCCTCTTGTTGTTGTTGTTGTTGAGTGCCATCGAGTCGGGTCCCACCCATAGCGACCCTGTACAGGGTTTCCAAGGGTGTAAATCTTTACGGGAGTAGAAAGCCTCATCTTTCTCCCGCGGAGCGGCTGGTAGTTTCGAACCGCTGACCTTAAGGTTCGCAGCCCGATTCGTAACCACTACGCTACCAGAGCTCCTAATGGGCCCTCTTATACAGGCTTTATTAGAGATCCAGAAAGAGTACAGGAGTAAATGAACACCCCAGACACACACAAAGAAAATTCCAGATGCATGGAGACATGGAGCCAAGACACCAGCACAAGCCAAAAAAGCCAAGAGACTATCACATAATTCACAATAAAAAAAAAAAAAAAAACCGGAGAGCCAGGCTTTGCACTCATAGAACAGAAACAATGGAATACTGAGTTGCAGAGAAAGCGACAGGAAAAAAGAGATAAAGGCACTGTAGGATAAGCACTGGACTGTGAAGCAAAAGGTTGGTAGTTCAGTGAATCAAACCCAGCAAGCAGCTGCTCCTCAGAAGTCAGGATCTACTCAATGGCACTTAACAACAACAACAACAACAACAAAGGCAAGGCCAAGTCTGTGCTGGGTGCTAAGTCTAGGGGGTGGGTGTTTAACTTCTGGGATTTTCAGATTGGATGAGAAGCTGACACTAAAGGCACAGGCTTACCAATCATTCCCTACAATGGCCTAAGAGCTACAGAAAATAAAGGGCAGGTGACAAATCAGAGAGCTGGGGAAACACACACAGCTGAGAGGTTTTCATTGACCCTAACTATAAACCTGAAGCCCTGCTAACTGTTGGCCTGCTAATAGCAAAGTCTGCAGTCGGAAACTTGGCAGGAGAAGACGCGGCAGCCTGCTTCTGTAAAGATTTATCGCCTTGGAACCCTCAATGGAGCAGTTCTATTCGGTCCTCTAGGGTCCTTGTTAGTCAGAATCTATGCATCAGTAGTAGGCTTGGGTTTCGGTTTAACGTGAAAACCACTAGACCACTGAGATTCATGTATGTCAGAGTAGAACTGTGCTCCAGGGTCCTTGTCAGTCAGAATCAATGCATCAGTAGTAGGCTTGGGTTTCGGTTTAACGTGAAAACCACTAGACCACTGAGATTCATGTATGTCAGAGTAGAACTGTGCTCCAGGGTCCTTGTCAGTCAGAATCAATGCATCAGTAGTAGGCTTGGGTTTCGGTTTAACGTGAAAACCACTAGACCACTGAGATTCATGTATGTCAGTGTAGAACTGTGCTCCAGGGTCCTTGTCAGTCAGAATCAATGCATCAGTAGTAGGCTTGGGTTTCGGTTTAACGTGAAAACCACTGGACCACTGAGATTCATGTATGTCAGGGTAGAACTGTGCTCCCCAGGGTTCTCAGTGGCTGATATTTTCACAAGTAGGTTTCCAGACCTTTCTTCCAAGGCTTCTTTAAGTGAGTTGGAACTGCCAACTTTTTGGTTAGCAGTCAAGTGCTTTAACCATTTGCACACCACCTAGGGGTTTCTGGGTGGCACAAGAGATTTATGATTGACTGATAATTGAAAGGTTGGTAGTTCAAACCCACCCAGCCACTTCTTGGAAGAATGGGCTGGTGATCTGTTTCTATAATTATTATAGCCAAGACAACCCAATACGTATATAGAGAGAGTTCTACTATGTAACAAGGAGCTCTGGTAGCGTAGTGGTTACGAATCGGGCTGCTAACCTCAAGGTCGGCAGTTCAAAACTACCAGCTGTTCTGCGGGAGAAAGATGAGGCGGTCTGCTCCTGTAAAGATTTACAGCCTTGGAAACCCTGAATAGGGTCGGAACCGACTCCACGGTACTTAACAACAACAACAACAACTATGTAACACAAAGGAGCTCTGGTAGCTTAGTGGTTATGAATCGGGCTGCAAACCTTAAGGTCAGCAGTTCAAAACTACCAGCTGATCCATGGGAGAAAGTTGAGACTCTCTGCTCCCATAAATATTTGCAGCCTCAGAAACCTTGTACAGTGTCACTATGAGTCAGAACCAACTCCGAGTCATATAACAACAACAGCTGTGTAACACATGGGGCGTCAACTAGTCAGAATCACCTCAGCACCAGTGAATTTTACATTTTAAAACAGGAATGTTCACCAGGAACATTTCTGAGTGGTGCTTATAGGATAAGCACTGGACTGCTAACCATTAGGTCAGCAGTTCAAACCCACCAGCTGCTCCTTGGAAACCCTATATAGGGTCACTATGAGTTGGAAATGACTCAAAGACCGACTGTTAGACCAACCATTAACAACAACTACTTGAAGCTTAGGAAGGTGCGGAGCCCACATTAGCATAAAGTGGGTGGGTCACCAACCCCTTAGAGGATTGGCAGTCAAGTTTGTCCCAGTCCCCACCACTCTCTGCTGCCTCATGCTGGTCAGTGTCACACCCTTGTTTGCCTGCCTGGCCCCTGTAGGTGCATGAACTGGAGAACCTTGAATAGGGAGTTTGTAGATGAGGGTAGAGTGTTGAACATAAGCTTTGCGTTCAGGTAGTCTGAGATAGGTTTCCTGACTTTGTGGTCACTGTCGATGTGTGAGGTTGAGACCTTAATTGGGAAATGTTCAGCTACTAACTGAAAGACGACAGTTCGAACCCACCAGGTGACCCTGGGTAGAAGAGACTTGGAGATCTGCTCCCATATAGATTACAGTCGCAGAAACCCTCTGGAGCATTTCTGCTGTGCTCTACAGAATCACTGAGTCGGAATCAACTCCCCAGTGTAGGTTGGTTTTGGCTGGTTATGATTGTGATTAGGAATCCTGGTGATACAACCGTTAAAGTGCTCAGCTGTGAACCAAAAGGTCAGCAACTAGAACCTACCAGCTGTTCCTGCAAGAGAAAGATGAGGCTTCCATAAAGAGTGTTGGTTTTGTAGTGTACCATAGAGTCCGTTCTGACTGACCGCAACCCTGTATAGGGGTTTCCGAAGCTGTGAATCTTTATGGGAGCAGAAAACCTCATCTTTCTCCCGTGGAGTGGCTGGTGGATTTGAACTACTGACCTTTTGGTTAGCAGCCCAACACATACCCCGTGACAGCGGCAGGGCTCGTTTCTGCACAGATGCCAGCCTTGGAAACCCTCTGAGGCAGTTCTGCTGTGTCCTGTAGGGTCACTGTGAGTAGGAATCCACAGGACAGCGGTGAGTTATCACAGATGGACAATCTCTGACAACCAGCCATTCCCACCTGCATTTATTATGGAATTATCATGCTTACTAGTTCACCAGTAAACCTGGTGCCACCAAGTAGATACCAACTGACGGCGACCTCATGTGTGTCTGGGTAGAACTGTACTCTACAAGGTTTTTAATCACTAATTTTTTTTAAGATGCTCTGGTAGTGTAGTGGTTACGAATCGGGCTGTGAACCTTAAGGTCAGCAGTTCAAAACTACCAGCCACTTCGCGGGAGAAAGATGAGGCTTTCTACTCCCATCAAGATTTACAGCCTTGGAAACCCTGTACAAGGTTACTATGGGTTGGAATTGACTCGACGGCACTTAACAACAATTTTTTGCAAGTGGATCACTAGGCCTGTCTTCAGACATGCCTTTGGGTAGGCTTGAACCACTAGTCTTTCAGTTAGCAACTGAGCATGTTAACCATTTTCACTGCCCAAATCAAACGAAACCCACTACCATCAAGCCAATGTTGGCTTATAATGTGAAACAGCATGGGTTAATGCAAAGGACTGCAAAGTTGGTTTGCTCCTCAAGGTCAGTCGTTCAAGCTCACCATCCACTCCTCAGAAACTATACAGGGTCGCTATGAGTCTGAACCAACTGTCCCAAAATCTGTTGCCAGTCCATTTCAACTCAAAACAGAGTAGAACTGCCCCATAGAGTTTCTTAGGATGTAAACCTTCAAGGGGACAGATTGCCAAGTCTTTCTCCCGAGTTCTGCCCTACCCTAGAGGGTCTCTGTGAGTCATAACTGACGCAGTAGTAACAAACTTGCTTTGGTTTTTCCTTATGGGAGCTGAATGACTAGTCTTTTCTCTTGCGGAGCAGCTGGTGGGTTCAAACCAACAATCTTTTCGTTCGTGGCCCGGCGCTTAACTGTTGTGCCACCAGGGCTCCTTACCCGATTGCTAAGTGCTGTGGAGTCAGTTCTGACTCACGGCGACCCTGTGTACGACAGAACAGAACATTGCGCCATCTTCACCATGGTTCCTATGTCTGAGCGCATTGTTGCAGCCACTCTGTCAATCCATCTCCTTGGAGGTCTTCCTCTTTTTCACTGCTCCTCCATTTTACTAAGCATGTTCTTCTCCAGGAACTGGTTCCCCCCCACCCCCATCACATGTCCAAAGTAGGTAAAACAGTCTTCCTTGT